CCCCCCCCCCCCCACCGCCTCCTCTGGCAGAGGTGTCTCCAGGGCTCCCTGGGAGGTTCTGAGGGCCAGGGACCAATGTCCTCTGAGACTGGCACCCAGGGCACATTTGGGAGCATGCGAACATTCAGAGGTTCCCGGAAACACCTGGGGCACAGAACATGGCAAAAGCCAGACTGGCCGCAGCACGCAGGACGGGCTTGGGCATCAGTGAGAAGCCATATGCTCCGAAGGCAAAGGGGGTCGGGACCCTTCATTGCATTCTCAGGCCACCCAAGACCTCCAGTCACGAGGAGCCCCATTTCACAGATGAGGCCACTGACGCTCAGGGCGATGAAGGAACCTACAAGTGTTGGGCTTCACAGCCACGTCCGTGCACGACCCACTTGGCGCCTGGGGCCGCCTACTCACCTGGATCCCTTCAATGCGCTCGGTGACGACGTAGGCATGGTGCATGGCCACCAGCGGGACCTTGACGCCAGCCATCCGGCCCACGGCGCCTGCCCACACTCCTGCAGGCAGAGCACAGACAGCTCAGCTCTGCTGGCACCTGGCGGGGGCCAGCCAGCTGGGCGCCTCTGCAGGCCTGTCTGCCATGGCAGTGACTCCCCAGGTCACGCCTGGGCCCCCACCCTTAAGAAAGGCCAGGTTTAGGGAGCAGCCAGGGTGGCCGCTTGGGAGCCCGGAAGAAACGTGTTCCCACCTGCACAATTGACCACGCAGGGCGTCTGGATGGAGCCGTGCTCTGTCTCCACAGCCTCGACCCGCCGCACCCCAAAATCATCCGTCCGCACGGTGATGCCGGTCACCGGGCAGCTCTCGATGACCTGAGAGCGCGAAGAGCTGCTTCCAAAGCCATGTGGACGCTCTGAGCACTGGCCACCCACCCTCTCCTACCGCCAGCCCAGGCGGTACCCGGAACACCCGCTTCTGCTCAGGCAGGCTTCATGTGACCCCACTGGGGAAATGGGGTGACCACAGGGTGGAAACTAACTCCACGTGCTCCCTGACTTGGAGAACTTGTCCCCCCAGACAGAGGCTTTTTTTTTGAAAAAAAAGAAGAAAAGAAAAGGAGGGCTCCTTTGACTGACAGATGCTTGCGGTTAAAGGTCACATACAGTGCACTTTGCCTCCATTTGATTTACATACACAACTTCATAGAAAATTACTTGCAACGTCCTCATTTCTTCTTTCTTGCTTATTTGTCTTTTCTAATCTCTCCTACAACTATGTGTGTGTTCGAGACAAAAAAGGTGAAAATCAGAAGAAGAGGTGTGGGGCGGGTTCACTCTTGCAGCAGGGCCAGACCTCGGGGAAGGGACAGGGGAGCTGACCTGGGGGACAAAGCTGAGGCCGCCGGCCTCTGCAGGGTCGGATTAGAGGCTCAGGTCCCATGTGGAGCAGAGAGAACGGCACGTGCTCTCTTGCCTTCTGGTCTTGGGGTTCTTAGGCAGGAGGGGTGGGCTGGGAGCAGGGGGCCCAGGGCCGGAAGGCCATTGTACCTGCGCTCCACGGGCAGTGGCGGCCCTGGTGAGGGCGGTACAGGTGCCGCCGGGGTCCATGGTGCCGTCGTGAGGCACGTACAGGGTCCCGTAGAGGTCATCCACATTCATCAGCGGATACAGTGCCTTGGTCTCTGCCGGGCTCAGCACGTGGGACTCCACGCCATAGGCCTTGCCCAACTGGGGGACCCAGAGGAAAGTAACTGAGCCCTCGGGGAGCAGACCCCCTTGGCCACTCGACTCCCCGTCTGGGCCTCCAAGGGTCAGTTCGGACCCTGTGTCCCCCAGGAACCCTTAGCCGGCCACCGTGCCTCAGCGGCCCCCGTCCCTCGGGCCAGCTCCGAGGAAGAGTAAGGAGCCCGGGTAGTGCTCGGAAGCAGGCTCTGAGGCCCTCCTGCCTGCCCCATCCAGCTCTAACATGAGCCATGTGACGTGGGGCAAGTTGCTAACGTCACCCGGGGGAATGGCGGTGATAATGGTTTATGTGGTTGACACCTTTAAAGAGCTCAGACCAGCCCCTGGCACATAAGGATTTACTATATAACATAAATAAAAATAATCCCCGTAGGTCTGACAGTTTGAGTTTCAACCAGGTTTGCTGGTCAGACCAGCTCCCCAGACGAGAGGCCGCTGCAGCCCTCTGCCCCAGGCCCCGGACTGTATGACAGACCACACCCCGGGCTCATTTGATTGGCCCGAGGGCATCCAATCAAATGCCCCCAGGCACCCATCCATCAGGACAGGCTCCGCCCAACTAGAGATGAGCTGAGCCAATCAGATTCTCTCTCCGAGCAGTGGGCATGAAAAGCTGCAGAGACCTCACTCAGCACTTGAGCTGAAAGGTTGCCTGGGCACCTTTGGAGCCTCCATCGCGGCTGATGAGTGAGCAAGGCGGGGGGTGGGGGGAGTAGGCAGAATGAGGCCACCTCCTAACCCCAGAGACCCAGCCCGTTCTAATGAAGCCAGGTGCCGCTGCTTCCGCCTGGGCAGAGGAACTCGGCATCCCTGTGACAATGTACCTCTGCTACCCACACAGGCCGCTCTGCTCGCTGGGCCCTGAGCCACTCTTCAGCTGGTGCTCAATAAGGAAGGAACTGCTGGAGGAGCCAGTCTCAGCCACGTCCTGGAATTTGGGGTCCGGGCCTGGCTGCTCTGGGTGAAGAATCAACTCTCCACCCCAGCAGAGGGCCCTCCACAGCGGAAGGCTTTCTCTGCCGCCTCGTCCACGACGGCGTTCCCTGAGCCCCGCCAGCGGTGCCGGGAGAAGGGTGGTCCTTCCTCCTGGGTAGTGCAGTTTCTCATCATGCATCCTGACTCCTGTGAGCACCGTGCATGCCGATAACTCCCGGTTATCGGGCCTCTCCTGCCTTGAGGCTCGGCAAACGGTGCTGCGCAACGCAACGGTCCCATTTTAAAGGTGAGGATGCCGAGGCTCGGAGGCAACGCCGCTTGGCCCAGGTGGCACGGCCAGCAAGGGCAGCACCAGGGATGGAACCCAGATCTGTCGGGGCTCCTTCCCTGTGCTACGCTGCCCCACCCACCACCGGCAGCGGGGCACACACCAACACGAGCCACTCACTCGCCCGGGCGGGAGTGCACCCAGGACATGAGTCCCCGCCCTGGCAGGGGTGCACCCACCGACATAAGCCTCTTGTACTCATCCAGGCGCTGCCGGTTGGACGCGATGAACAGCCCTCCATTCTGGATCCAGCCCGTGTGCAGCCCCGTCTCCTCCCCCAGGTCGCGGCTCACCACGCGCCTCGTGTGGGCCAGAAGCTCCACCTCCACGTCGCTGGGCCGCAGCTGCCACAGCAGGCCTGGCGGAGGAGGGGCGGGGCGCCGTCAGCCCCAGCACTGCAGTGCTGCACCCCGGCTCCTCCCAGCAGGCCAGGGCTCCTGAAGACCAGGCAGTGGGCGGGGAGCGTCTCTGCAGGCCATGGAGAGCCCCGAGCGGCTGATGAGCAGGAAGTGACGGGGTCAAAAAGTTGAGTTCCAGGACATCGCCCTTGGGCAGCTCAGAGCGTGACGATACCCAAGGCTCCCATTTACGGAGCACCTACTGTGTACTGAGCCTATCACTGGGTGACAGAGCAGTCCTGGGAGGCAGGCATGACTGTTTTAGAGTGAAATTAAGGTGGCACCAAACGGTTCTGTGCCCAGGATCACAGGACGGGTGATGATGGGGCCGGTACCCCAGCCCAGGGCTGACTGAAGTCCAAAGGCAGCCTCTTCACCAACAAAGCTGCTCCCTTCCGAGCAGAGTTTGGGGAGCGGGGGGGGCCAAGGGAGAGGCAGCAGTCGGGGAGAGGCTGTGTGGGCCCAGCCGAGACAGGACGGTGGGTAGGCAGGGGCAGTGGCGTGCAGGGCCGGCTGTGTCAGCTCTCAAGACACGTGATGCCTGAGCCTCTTCTCAGCTCCACATCCAGCGACATCACGCTCACATTGGCCAAAGTGGGAGTGTTTTCCCCACAGAGCCTGGCACACTTCACGCAGGGTTAAGGCAAAAGGTTGGCTGCCCTGGGGGCATGCGCACAGTAGGTGCTTTTACTATATGCCCACTGGCTAGTTGGCTGAGAACCGTGCTGCCCACGGAGGACGCCCCTGATGGCCCCTCCCCGTCCATCCTCTCTACCCGGTGGACGGCCCTCACCCCGGGTGCCTCCGTCCAGGGAAAGGGCTTCTGCTCTTTGAACACACAGCTGCCTGGGCTCCCAGCTCTGGTCTCGGCTCTGCCCTCCAGGATCCCACAGTCAGCGTCTGCTCCCTCCTCCCCTCCGCAGCTCTTCAGAGACTCAGGAGGAACGCGGGCTCACCCTCAGACGGACCCCGCGTCTTTTCCCCGTGTCCTCCCCCTCCAGCTCAGCTGCCTCTAACAGGCCTCCGGGTGCCAACCCCGAGCTGGCCCCTGGGCTGAGTCCAGATCCTCCCACCCCCGCGTGCGCCCAGGCCCCTACCCGCCGTGTGCCAGGTGGTCCCGGAGGTCAGCCGCTCCCGTTCCAGTAGCACCGCCCCGCTCATGCCCAGCTTGGCCAGGTGGTAGAGGGTCTGGCAGCCCAAGCTGCCCCCGCCGATGACCACCACATTGGCTGTGCTGGGCAGGGGCCGGCTTGGGCCCTGGGCGCCTGCCCAGGGGTCCCGTGCCTCCTTCAGGGTCTGCTGGTAGGGCACACTCTTCTCAGGGCTGGGCCGGGCCCCGCTGCTCAGGAGTCGCAGCCCCAGGCCCTGGGCAGGGCTCCGGCGAGGACAGGTGGCGGCCACACGCAGGGCTCGGCTCAGCAAGGCCATGGGGACTCGGCTCGAGCACCGCAGGGAGCTGGGGAGAGAGTCGGGGCTGCCTGGGGCACAGAGGGCTCTGTGCAAGTGAGGCCCAGGGCCCCCGCGCTGTCACCCTCCGGCCGTCCTCCTGCCACCCACCCACGTCAGGTGTGCACCCATGCATTTGTCCACGTGTACTGAGGGCCTCGTATGCTTCAGGCTCTGGCTAGGCCCAGGAGAGACCACGGTGGGGGCGGAAGGGGGGCAGTGTGCATGGCGGGGCAGGGCTGCAGGGCTGCAGGGCCACAGGGCGGGTGGCGGGGAGCCTGGGGCAGGGACACCCAACCCTCCAGCCCGTACACAACACGCCCTCCGGGGCAACTCCCGTCTCAACCCCAGACAGAAGTTATTTCCACCGCGTTGGCTCCACAGCCCTTTGGGACCCGAGGCAGAAGGTGAGCAACGCAGCGGGGTGCAGGCCCCCTGCTCCCTCGGGCCGTCTCGAATCCAGGTAGGGACTCGGAGGATGGGTAGCCAGCCTCCCTCCTCCTCGGTGACCTCCCAGTAGCCCGCAGGGCTCGCCTTGCATCCCTCCCCAGTCAGAAGAGCCTCATAATTCTAAGAAGAAAACTGTGACGGGGACCCGCCTTCTAAGGAGACAGGATGCAGCAGAGGTGTCTCCCCGGAGGGGAGGAACACAGAGGGGAAAGGACGCCTCAGAGAGGCTCCTGGGCCCACTTGCGGGATC